GAGAGAGAGAGAGGGAGGGAGCCTCTGTCGGCTCCTATAAGGCGCGTGAGCCTCCTCCAAAGACGCACAGACGAAGTGGAAGTTTGCTCCTGAATGAGCGCGGCACCGGCTCCGGGTGTGAATGGAGCGGGAATCATGAATCGGGATTTGTGAATGAAAAGCTGCAGCGCGGGAACTTCACTCCACAGAACGAAGAGCGTGGCCCGAGAGAGAACAGCGCGTCGTTTCTTCTGAATGGGAACAGACCGGAAACCTCGTGGCACGTGCTCGTGTTTAAACGCGTGTCCGTGCGTCTTTTCGCTGCGCGATGAAGATGCCTTGAGCGTAAAAGTCCAGATTCCCTCTTCTTGTGTCCGGTGACAGTGAAGCTACACGTGTAGACAACAGGACAAATACAAGAGACAGACAGAAACGAGATGTCCTGTGCGGAAACTTCAGCGCTTAAAGGACGAGTAGCTCCGGTGCCATTACGCACAGCTCCCCGGTGCGCATAGTCTGACCCCCGTGCGTAATGTTGTATGGACCGACCCTCCGCGACCCGATGCGACTCGTCGACCCGAGGCACCTCCCGCAACTGATGTCCCTGGAGGACCATGAGCCCACCATGGTGGGAGGGACCATGGGGCCGCACAACTCCACGCCGGTGGGGGAGGAAGGGGCTCCGGGTCAGCAGCACCACTCCTTCCCCTGGGCGGTGACCCTGCTGGCCGGCGTCCTCATCACGACCATCGTGGTGGATGTTATCGGGAACCTGCTGGTCATCGTGTCCGTGTTCAGGAACAAGAAGCTCAGGAAAGCAGGTAGAGGCTGATGTTGGTCACTTTGTATTTGCATTGTTCTGGTTAAAGGTTAAAATGAATTTTCTTGATGCAGCAGTCTCCATGTTACATTTTTTAAGTCCATTATTACATTAACATTTTTCACTTTTAATTTTGTTTTGTTTTTTACTCTTTGCGTGTTTTTTATAAATTCAACATATAATATTCCAATAGTTTCAACTCAAAACAAAGTGTAAGAAGAAAACGTATTTCTTAATGCATATGCATTTATCTCATAAACTCAATTTCACCTGCTGGAATAGCTCAAGAAAGAAAATTAAAGAAAATGAAAATCTCACTATAAACTCTAATGTGAAATAGAAATGATTATTATTGGAACACACAAACTGCATTACTGTTGTACAGAGGGTAGAGCGCACTAAACGGAGGGTCGGTGGTTTGATTCCTGCTTTGTAAGTGATGTGTGATGGAGAAAGTGCTGAACATAGATGCACTGTGTGAGGTTGTGTGAATCAAGTTCTGCATAAAAACAGATCATTTAAAACCTGAAACTAATGTGAGTCGGTGTCTGCTGCACCTGTTCCCTGAGGATCAACAATTTGATATAAACTAAAGTTTCTGTTCAGGTTGAGATGATTCAAAAAACAAACATGGTTGGAAATGTTGCTTCTGTAACTTTCTCCATCTTTGCATTTGTCTCCCACCGTCACACTGAGTGACTTCACCAGATTGCTGCTTAATGTGTGAATCAAGGACACTTAGACGTTCAGCTGCTGCTGCTGCCGCCGCAGGCGACTGGACTCACGCTGGCGCGTGTTTGACGTGTTGTGTTGTGTAAGAGTGCAGCTCTGACAGGAAATCTGTCAGCGTTAGTGTCTGACACCAGTGACAGTTACGCTCCAGACGTTTGGAGCAGCGCTGCAGCTGCAGACTGGGAGATTTGCCACGTTGGCTCTCGGTCAAGGACTTTTGGAAACTAAAAGCAGTGAAGCCGCAGTCGGACGTTCACTGTAATCGATGCGCAAATCTGATTCTCAGCCTCAGATGTGGACCACAAGCCCTGAAGAGCGCCGCTGAGCATAAATAACCTGGGCACTTAGGAAGCCTCAAACACACAGAGTGGAAATCAATCCAGGCTCCTAATTGTTATATCTCACTCAGAGGCACGCTCCCACAGAGTCAGCCTTCATAGTAACGATCACATTCAAAACTCAAAGTGAGGACGTCCGCTTTCTTTGCACTTGTACAATAATAAATAAATATTGATGGGTGGTTTAATGGAGCACTGGAGCCTAACTTCCTGTGAAGCTTCAAAATGAACAGTCCTGGCAGAAAATCAATTCCCCCCCCCCCCCTCAATCCTTCATTCCTTCACATAAAAAGACAGTTCATGTTTGAGAAGCTCTTCTTGTCTGAGAAAGGTCAAGAGGTTGCAAGTTCAAACCCCCAAAACAGCCACGAGAGTATGAAAGACGAAGGTTACGTCTCCTCTTTGAAAAACCTGAGCGATCTGCTGTCGTCCAGTGAAAGAACTGAACTCAGGTCTGTGTTGATGGACTCAGATCAACAGGAGGTTGATGCACTGAGAAGATTCTGAGCAGGGGATTAAACGCTCGTCACCAAATGCTGCGAAATTAAACGGAAAGCTGCGAATGTGTCGGCATGTCGGCAAACTTTAATACGACAGGTGTTAGGTGTTTGGTTTTAGGGTTTAAATGTTTAAATGATTTGATGACGCTGCAAAGTTTTCTTATCATTTCACGCTTCTGCAGCCGAGGTTGTGGACACGATGGAGCAGTGCGCTGCTCTGCTCACGTCTGAGAGGTGAGAGTGTGATAATGCATGAATTCTAACTGACAGATGAAACCACGGACATCCATCCATCTATTATCGTTACCGCTTATCCAAGGGGTCTGGAACCTATCCCAGCTGACATTAGTCAAGAGGCTGTCTTCACCCTGGACATGTCGAAGCTATCAAGTGACAAACGACCAGTCGCACTCAAAGTCAATTTAGAGTCACCAGTTAACCGAACCCTAATCTGTGGAGATGACAGCACTTTACTGTTTTTATAGGAAAGACTTTAAATGCCTTTTTTTTTATTCCCCTGCAGTCAGTCAACTACTTTGTAACCTTGTTTAGATAACAACTATAGAAATAAAGTGTTATTATATGATATCATATTTATTATTACATTTTTAACCCACATGCAGCTGTAGTCCATCAGGAGGTGTCGTCTCTGCTCTGATCCTGTGTAGATGCTGAATGTGTTGAAGTCACAGGACTCTAAAATTACATTAGATCAATATCATATTAGAAATTATTATTGTTATTGTTAGTGGGATATGAGAATATTAACCTCTGGTCTCAAATATATAGAGTGTGAACTAGTGTGAAGGTGCTGATGCTTGCAGTAATTCCATCATGATGTCACCATGGCAACCAAATGAAGCGCCGAGTGCAGTCAAACATCTGGAATTGTCAGGAAAAGTTAAGTTAATGATAAAGTTACTCATGTTTCTGCGTCTGCAGCTTTTCCATGAGCCTGTTCTATATTTTAACTAAATGCAGATCAACACAGAAGTTTTTTACAGAGGGGAGAAACAAATTGTTGCACTCTGCTGTTTCTTGTTCCTAATGCTTCTTACGATCGTTTAAGGATTGAAGGACATAATGAAAAAGAGGAAGAAGGCTGCAACAATTAATCACTCGACAGAAAATATATCAGCAACTATTATAATCACATTTACGTAAAAAGGACATAAAACCTATGAGGACGTCGCCTCGGGCTGTGGGGAAATCGTAATGTCATTACCACACAATTATAAAGCAATCCACCAGTTCCTGACATTTTACAGACCAAACGATTAATTGGAGAAATAATCAGAAGAAGAATCAATAATGGAAATAATAAGGGAAGTTTCATCCTAAAGACTCGAGATGTCAGAGAATAATTGGGAACAAGATGACTGTGTGTCTTGTTTCTTTCCTGCTTCTTCTGTTAATAATTGTTTCCCAGAACCTGTTAAGAATTAAAGGTAATTACAAAGCGTTCATGTCACTAAAATGGTCACAGCAACACGTTTAAATAACATTTTCTATGTTTTGTTGCGGCTGAACGCAGCCCTGGTGTTTTTGGTATCAGTTACTACTGACGAGGTGTTTTGGGAACTTCAGACTTTTTAACTTTGCAGAACTTCTACTTTAAAAAAGACTTTAACGCACTAGAGGAAAGAAAACTGGTTTGATGGAGTTTGTAGGTTAATATGAATATAAGCGGTGACAAATTCTGCAGCTTCCAGTCACAAGGTCACAGCTCCAGTGGCCCGGACTTTTAATGGTGACAAATTAGCATCACAATGAATCAACACATAAACAGCCAGGCTCTGTTCCCCCCTCAGCTCTTGACAGTTTTCAGTCAACACACAGACAAGTCATTTATTTCTTGCTTTTCCATCTTTTCCAGGAATCCCTGAACGATTAGAGGTGGAAAACAGGATGAATCGTTCCCCTTTTCTCATTATTCTTCTCTCCACCTCCTCATTCATCTGATCTTCCTCCATCTTCTCTCTTATCTCCCTCTCTTACCCGCCTCCTTCCCTTTTTTACAGTTACCCCATCTTCCCGACTCTTGTCTCAATTCATCTCCTGCCTCTCTTGTCCTTTCTACTTGATTCATTCCCTCAGACTCCTTCTCCTCACCTTTTCTCTGCTCTCCTTTTTAATCGCTCACCCTGCCCCTTAATTACTCATCTCTTTCCTCCTCCTCGGCCCTGTCAGGTTTCTCATCTCTCCCCATTTCCTCCCCTCGGATCCCCCTAATTCCATCTACCTCTTCTCTTCTCCTGCTGCTGAATTATCCTGCCTTCCTGTGCACTGTTTCCCCCCCCCACACATCCATCCATCACCTCTCTCTCTCCATCTGCCCCATCAGGAACACATTTCCTGATCGACAGAAAGGTCCTGTCACAGTTCATCATGTCAGTGTGAGTGGATCTGCTCAAAAACAGACAGATTATTCATTTAGAATCTGCACAGTGCTCCTGCAGTGAAAACCCCTGGAAACACAAAACTGTGGATATGTTCTGTCTTCACTCGCTGTATGAAAACATTCATCTGAACAGCTGCGTATCTTCATGTCAATAGATTTGTGATCTACTGCTTCGATCGTCTTTACGCTTCCGTCTGTTTTCATCTGTGTAACCCTTTAACTCTGCAGTAAGTCAATAAACCAGAATAAATGATAAGTACTGACATTGTGTTATAAATTTAAAAAGACATGTTTTTCCACCATATTTTGCTCGATGAAAACACATTGAAGTGATTTCTAAATATAGAACATTTCTTAAGTTATTCTAACCATGTATAATTTTTTTAATATTTGACAAATGCCCGTTTTTCTCCTTTCCCGCCACTCTCCGGCTCCACAGCTGATTATCAACAACTTTCCCTTCCTCCCACAGACACAGTGTGGTTAATTGGAGTGAAATTGTCTTTGTGTGTTATACACTTGTGTAGAATGAACTCTGCCTCTCACCCCATCGGCTGGGATTTACATTTCTTTTGTATTGTGTGACATCACAACACACATTATCTCAAGGCACTTTACATGCAAGGTTGAGACCTTCAGATAATGACGAGAAACACAACAGTTCCCACAACGAGCGAGCAAGACCCCCCCCCCCTGGCTTCAGCCGCCTAGAGACCCTTTAAGTAGATGGATGGACATTAAAATTAAATCAGATGTTTGGGCACATTACTGCCACAAACTTGACAAACAGTGGAAGAGCACGGAGCTTGACGTGCATACATGATAAAAGTCAGACATGGAGCCATTCATCGCCCCATAGCTCTAAACTTCACTGTTCCTCTTGGACGATACATCATCTTTAAGTCAAACATTTCTACGTGACAAATGACAACAGTCCCCACAGATGGAGTCTGGTTGGTTTTAAGGATTGGAATGAATCAAGGTGGCAGATGGCTGTTCTCCGGGTTTTTTTTTGCTAAATCCCGAACCAACTGGTCTGACAGCTGGAAACCAGAAGAAGATGGAGGGTGCTCTGAAATACCACCCGCTGAGGGGATTTACAAGTAAAATAAGCCCATGATTCTTCTCTGACCTTCAGTTTCTTCGCAACATCTCAGGACACAGCTGAGCTCACTGAGGAACTCCGATGAATCTCAACAAGCCCGAAGCTCCCAACTGATTAAACTCATTATGTAAATGAGTGAACTCTCCGCAGAAGGTCGCAGCGACTTTCACCCAGTTTGCCACAGTTTGATCAGATTATCAAACTATATAGAAAATCTAGGATTAAAGACATCTGTTCATCGGTCGTTAGCTCAGACGACAGAAACATCTGAACGTGGTTGAAAAAATATGGAACAGAAATAGAGAATCATGACGTAGAAAACTCAGCAACACGGACAGGAAGGAGAACAGGAAGCAATGTTTGGTTGGTCAGTCGAACACTTTGGGTAAAATATCACAACTATTCAATGGATTTCTACAAACTGGTTCACAGGTAGTTGAACTCTGGACTGATTTTGATGATCAAGTGCCAACATCAAATGAAAATAATCCAGTTTGTTCATGACTGTAGTTTATCTTACGAAGAATTGAAGAATTGCTTTTTAACAACATGACTGTAAACTCTTAGTCTAGTTATCTGAGGGTCTTAAGTTGTCAACATTTGCAAACGACCCGAGAGAAAGAACTAAAAACAGATTCTGAAGACAAGTCTTACTCGAGGCTGAAGTCACAGTTCAAACCAACAACTCCACCGAGGAGAGCCAGGAATCTAACGTCCGAGGTGAAAGTAGTACAAACAGGAAAATACACTGAAACCAAACTGAAGCCAAACACAACTAAACTGACTTGTTAGCTTGAGAGAATAAAGTTGTTCAGAGTCGTAACAGCTGCTGCAACAGTTTCAATGGTTCTAATAAAACAGCAAAAGAGAAAAATCCTACCGTGAGTCGATGTTAATCCAGAGCTGAGAATCAGGAAACAAGAACCAGAACAGAGGGAAGTGAAAAACACTTTAAACACACAAGGCCTGATTCACCTGTGCAGCCGAAAATGGAGGGAAAACACCAGGAAGTAACAGGCAGACATTTCAAAATAAAACAGGAAGTTTACAAATCCTAAGAATCAAATTAACCTTTAAGTATCAGTGTTTCTGTCTCTTTCAGAACAAACTCACCCTCACTACACTTCTCTAATAAATGGCTAAATGTGCTGCTGATTTGATAACATCTGCTTCTGACAGATGTTTTGTACGAGTATTGATAAAAATACAATCAAACTTAACATAAAGTAAAATATAAAATATTGAACTTGAAGTTTTATAGGTTAAGTTATAGTATACTCATAGTTTTTTTTGAGGAAATCCCTCTCAAGTTATTTGATTTATTCAAAAGATAGAAAACTTTTTTTTTTTAATTTATTTGAAATGTTTATTTTTCAATGTAATTGAATTTAGGGATAATTTGTATTTGTGTGTACATAGATGAATCTATAAGTGTAATCCCATATGAGTACTTTAAATTTTGTTTTTTCCGATGCATGTTGCTGCTGTTTTATTTGAGCTTATGGCTGTTTGATGGTTTTTCTCACTGTAACTTCATCTTAAGCTGCTGTTGTCGCTCCTTCTTTCCTCTACGGCTTCATGGAGCTGGAAACGTTTAGAGGACACATTTCAAACCAACCACCTTCCCCCTCTGAAGCTGAAAACATAGTAAATGTTTCGATCTCTTTTGAGGTACAGAAATCAAATCACCAGAAAACATGGAAGAGTTTTGTAATTTTGTCTTTAGCGTGTTTATCTTGTTTCGCCGTTAAACCATCGAGAAATGGGTCGACTATACTACTGAATAGATGGAGTTTGTTGAGGCATTTTAACTCTGTTGTTGTCTCAGTGGAAGACGGCTGAGATCATTTCACATTTTTCTCTTGCGCTGAAAGGATCCTGCTTGTTAACTACTGGTTTTAAGGTCACACGTGGAGTAATGTAATGTGATGTAATGGCCACCCATCATTAAACCTTCACAGCTCCGGCAGCGGGTGGCTGCGGCGCCTGAACAGGGTCACAGCTGGCCAGTATGCGAAAAGGAATATTTGTGGAAACAGAAAATACATCTTTTGAAAATGGCGTGGGCCATTTAGAAAGTAATTTTCAATGTCTTTTAAAGGACATTTATGTGTCACAGAGGGACGACGCTGTTGCTGCACAACATGATGCCACAGAGTTCACGAGGAGGAGCGAATAATCTGCTTCATGAATACTGTGCACGAAGCAGCCCTCTGCTCAAACGCTGCAATTTGAATGAAACTTTGACCTGTTATATTCAGAATCTGCAGCTCTGCAGAGACATGACAGAACCGGAGGGATTGTGGTGAATCTCAGTCACGTTTTGCCCTTAAAATACAAATATTTTTCATGTTATTCAAAGTTTGCACAAGCCTTCACTGTAATGCACATGACTAATATTCAAAAGAAGATTATTTTTTAACATTCAAAACAGAAAACCCTCCACCAACTTCATCTACAACTCAAGGGGCAAGACGTTACATCACATCAGTGCCCGACTGCAACATGAATATAAATGTAATGACATGATGAGAGGCAAAGAGAGAAAGATGGAAGTTTGTTGGAAGAGCGTCTGTGGTGCATTTTGACCACAGGGTCAGAGTTTTGCAGTCAGCTTGTGCACAGTGAGTAAGTCTGACTTCAATAGTGTTTGTCTGGGAGCAGGACTTTTGTCCTGAACTCTGAATAGAGTGAAAACTTTCTGGCTGCAGTGTTTTAATAAGAAAGTGAAAGTGTGCGTCAGGTACCTGAGCTCCCTCGGGAAGGACTGTGGCTGCTTCTGGGACAGGTTCTGACTTCTGCTGAAATGTTTGTCGCTTCCAAACGACTCAAAGCTCTGCACCTTGTTGATGTGTTAGCTTGGACTCTGGACTTTTGGACTATTGTCTTGTTTCAAATAAATAGTTCAAGGCCCTACTGGGTCTTTAATGGCAGGATTGAATTCTCTTGTAGAGTTTGTAAAACAGAAATAAAACATTACAGTTCAGGTTCAGTGTGCAGGTCCAGACCACAGATATTTCTGTCCTGTTCTGTCTGAGAATGTTTTCCATA